CACAATTTTTTTTTTTTTGCCTTATCTTGCACCCAGAAAATTATATTAACATAATAATCTATACTTAGCAGTAAAATTTCAGTCTGGGCAGTTGCCCAGGCTCGTCCATATATAGATCCGCCCCTGCTGCCGGGGTCTTATTATTTTTTTAATGGAGTCTTACACGGTAAAATTTTGTTACGTACAAGTGGTTCAACGCAAAGCGTCGGTGTCGGACGACCCCAGCCACTGAACGTAGCTTCGCCACTGCGTAGTCTTAATTGGTAATTATCTTGAATTTGTACAAAGTTTTGGAGAGAAGACACTAAAAAAATTATTAAAGCAATTCCTACTCTCCTTTTGTTATTGTTGTGTGAATGTTTGAGAAAAATAAATGTTCTGTTAGCTGCAATAACAAATAAATATAGCAAATTACTGTCAACCAACAACTAATGATTATATCAGTGCTCCAACAATATAAATGCTAAGTGAATTGTTTGTTAGCTGTAATAACAAATTACTGTCAACTAACAACTAATGACTCTATCAGTGGCAGTGCTAAGTCAACAATAAGTCAACAATTAATTCTTGTATGTGTCGGTCTATTCTTAACGATTCTATTTGTTATAATTTTTTAATTTAACAACAAATGTATACTGCTTATTCTATGAAATATGGCACTTATGTTGTTTATTTGAGTGACATTTCAATTTGAAATTATACATATATGTAAAAAAGGTATGTCGACCCAACCACTAGACTTGTTTAACAACTATTCACATGTTTAATTTTTTAAACAATAATTAGACTCTACAAATTATTATTTCTTTCACTATTAGGGTGAAATGTTATTTAGATTTGTCTTCATTTTCTTGTTTTAGTATAAAATAATACGACCAACCTTTTAGTAATAATTATTATAAAAATAATTCTGCTAAAAATAACAACAACATCTTCTAGAGGTGAAAGGATTTTTAAACACGTTCTACTTAATATTTTTATTTTATTAATTACTATTATTTAAAGTTATTTTTTTTACACGTGTCTCATTTTTCTACTAGTCGCCCACAATTCTCACAAACTATTGGAATTATAATTCGCATCTCTCTATTGAGCTATTCAATTAATGCAAATATTAAATTTTTTGTTCATTTAAGTTAATTATGTTAGCAAATTATTACATTTTATATTAAGTAAAGTATAGTTATATTATATTTAACCATTTCATTGTAGAATAATTACTACTAAAACTAACTAATTATAATACATTAAATAGTAGATAGATATATTTCCAAAAATATATTGCAAAAAATAGAAGTATAATTATATTATTTTTTACTATTCTATTGTATAATAATTACTACTAAAACTAAATAATTATAATTCACATTAAACTATTCATTTTTACTAATAATTAAAAATTTAAATGTGATACTTTATCTATCTTATAATTTTAATATTATAGGCATATAAATAACTTGTACTACTTTATTTACGTCNACATCATTACTTATGTAATATTTGCAAAGTTACCTATAGTTATTAGTAGGGCTAGTAATTTTTTATTCAAAACCAAAAATTGAACCGAACCAAACTGACGAGAAAATAAACCGAATCGAATTGACTCATTTGTAATGGTATCCGATTATCTGTTATCGAATTGATATCGGTTCCAAATCCATAAAAATTTGGTAAAACCGAACCGATAAGGATTAACAAATGTATTACTTTAAATTTGAAATAGTAGCCAATTAAATTATTTAAGTAGCCTTAGTTAAATATTAGAAAATTAAATACCTAAATTAGTTAAATAAAACAATAAATTAGGCTATAATAATGCATAAATTAATTAAACAGTCTTATACAAACTTGCATATCACATTATTAGACCGAACTAAGAGAACAGAAAAAATAAATAAATAAAATTAAAATAATCCTCACGACAAAATTACAATTAAAGCCCAGTTTTTTTTAAACCAATGCCCCATACATGTAATTACTAATTATTAGAAATGTTTTTGTACTGGCCACAATAATTCCACCATTTTTTTAATCTCGCTCATTCCTTCTTTCTTTCTTGCCGCACTACTAATTTAACCAAAACGGCAAAATTGAAAAAACAAATAAAATAAAATAAAACTAAAAAAAAAAGTTTTATTTTTTCCCTTTCTTCATTCTTTATGTCTTACTAATTAAAACAATGTTGTTTTTCTTATCGGTTTTCGGTTTTTTATCGGTAAAATACCGAAACCTAAACCGAAACCGAAATGTGTTTTTGGTAACCCAAAATCAGTTACCGAATTCTAATTGGTGCGGTATCGGTTTCGCATTTTACTGTTTCGAGCATATCTCTTTGGTATCGATTCGGTTACCGAACGGGGGTCTAAATTAAACTCCAACTTTGCAGAATAAAGAGTGTTGTGCCAAACAAATTTCAAATGTTCAAATCTCAAATAGAAGTGACATAAAAAATCTAATAATTTTTCTCCTACAGATAACCAAAAGAACTTCATCATCTCTTTCACCATCTTGAGCTGTATCCTCTTGCAAGAGAAGGGAAGCTTCCGGAACCTTCCGAACATCGTTTGTCAAATGCAAGTCAGTTTTGCGCGTGCCCGGGAAGCGATTCTCGAGTTTCCAATACATTCTCTGTGCCGGGAAAATTTTGCAGTTCTTTGACTGTGTCGGGCTCTTGCTCGACTCCATGTGCTCTGCACCAAAGTCGATCAAAGCAGTTTCGCCATAGTATGACTTGATAAGTTGATTTGCACTGTATGCTTCATACAAATCATATCCTTAAGAAGTGTTCTAAACTAGCAATAACATATAAACCGAGACAAAATCTAATATATCCATGTAGCAGCTCATTCGATCGAGCTAATGCCTTTGTAAATCGACCTCGAGAAATTCTCCCCTGCATTATAGTCCCGGTTTTGTCGAAGGCCCTGATATTATATCCGAACCAGAGTTTCAGATAGTGTAAAACAATGCAGTTGGGGTTGATTAGGAGTTTGAAAACCGGCTATAGCAAACAATATAATCGTAAAAAGAAATTAAAAGACGATTATCAACTCATAAAACTCAAAAGATGCCAAATGATAACTATACATTCAATGAAATCCATCCTTCTGCTGATTATTACACTACATTTTTAGCTAGACTATATACGTTATTTTTCTTCCGATATTATAAGAATGCCGATCAGAGATAATAAAGTTTCATTTTCATTTTTTTACTAAAATCATTCATGATGATAACTAATATCTAATCACTCGATTACAATTTCCTGCAATCCTTTACTGTAGCTTTCGCAGCAATTTTTATGCGTAGCCAAACACGACTTAACTACATGTTCTTCTTCACCCTCTGAATTCTTCTCCCAATTTCTCGATTCTTGCCTGCAACAGTTCACTTCCCGACCACCCGAGCATTGATTTTCCGAGCACTTCTCGTCCGATGATAATGCCAGCTCATCCGACACGTGGACATGATGATGATTATGATGATGATTATGATGATGATCATGCGAATGACGATGCATTTCGTTATCGTGTTCATGTCTTTTAGTCGAGCATTTCGACTTCCGATTCCGACCCTTGGAACTGCAACATTTTTTTTCCCGCCTTCCTCTCAACAACAACATGCTATTAAAAATGACCACCAAACACGTCCCCACATCTGCCAGCACAGCAGCCCAGACGAGTGGGTGGCCCGCCACTGCCAGGCCCAATATCGCGGCCTTAGTCGAGACGGATATTATCACATTCTCGATGATCTTGACACGGACCCTCTTAGCCAATCGAGTAGCTTCCGGAATCTTCCGGATATCGTTCGACATGAGGACAATATCCCCTGACTCGGCTGCAAGGGCCGAGCCCGAAACTCCCATCGAGATCCCAACATGGGCCGTGGCCAGGGCAGGCCCATCGTTAAGCCCATCACCGACCATAGCTGTTGGGCTTTCGGTTTGTAGGCTTTTGATAATTCTTGATTTGTCCTCGGGGAGAAGCTCGGCATGGATCGAGTCCAACGAGCCTCCTAACTGATTGGATTAGAAAAATGGGTATTTTGGTAAAATACAATATGGGTTTGGATCGATTATTATTATTATTATTATTTTTTTAATGTCGTTTTACCTGCTCTTGTGCACGGTTGGCCGCTCCATGACAATCTCCGGTTAGCAATACGGTTTTGATGCCTAATGATTTGAGTTCTTGAATGGCTTCTTTTGCACCCGTTCGGCATATATCGGATAGACAGAAAATGGCAGCTAGAGACGAGTCCAAGAAGACATAACCGACCGATTTTCCTTCTAAATCGAGGCCTTCTAATCTTGGAACTGAGTGTCAAAGCAGAGATAGTGTTAGTAATTGCTAAGGCTAAAAAATGAAGAAAAGGCCTATTTATTGTTTGCATGTGTTTTTCACCTGCAGTACACCCAGCTCTTGATGTGATTTTCGAGTTCCCGATATATATTTCCTTATCATCGATATTTCCATAAATCCCTTCACCGGTAAAGTTTCGAAAGTTTTTGACTTTATCAAGAATCGGCTCGACTCCACGCGATCTTGCGAACTCGACTACAGCGTCTGCCATTGGATGACTCGATTTGCATTCTATGCTCGAGATCCTGTCATAAATATTACACACAAAAAAAAGTTAATAATAATCATTTCGTGATTTGTCTCGGGATATTTTCTGTCGAAATTACCAATATAACAGTGAATTCAAGTCGATATCATCATCGAGCAAAGATTTGAAATCGGTCACGACAAATTCTCCTCTGGTTATAGTCCCGGTTTTGTCCAAAGCCATAATCTTTATCCGAGCTAGAGTCTCGAGATGTTCGGCTCCTTTGAAAAGCACGCCAAAAGTGGCTGCTTTTGATAAGGCACAGAACATAGCAACTGGAGTCGAGAGAAGGAGAGCGCACGGGCACCCGCTCACTAAAACAACGAGTGCCAAGTGGAACCATTCTTTCTTATTCTTCACTCGGAAAACAAAAGGCACAATGGCTAAGAAAACCGATACCAAGACTATAACTGTAAAAGAAGTTCAAAAGCGAAAAATC